AAAGGATCGTTACTGATTGAAAAATTTATATCGATTTACAGAGTCACGTTGTGACTACTGTGTAAATCTTTTGTTCTTTTTGCGTTAGTTGATATGTTAGTGTAATTTTATTGTAATTTTTTTTTCGTTACTTGATATGTTAATGTAAGTTTCAATGTGTTTGTTGTGGCTGAATTGAATTCACATAATATGATGTGAATTCCATTTACAGAATAATGCATATTCATTCAACAAAATTATTCACACAGTAGTCACATTCTCATGTTTTTTTGTAGTGTTGCACATCATGTCGTTAACCTTGATGATTGTGTTGAAGTATGGAGGGTCGTTTGGGGTAAAGATACGCCAGGGTGATTTTGTGTATGAAGACCTCGTCGACTCCCATCCCTCTCTCTAGTTATTTTTCTATTTTTATTTATGTATTTTTCGAAAAAAAAATTCCAGATCTGAACAACAGTAGTAACATGACTATAGTCATATTTGAATATGACTATAGTCATATTTATGTATTTTTCGAATATGACTGTAGTCATATTCGAATATGACTATTCAAGTTGACTTCTAATAACAATATTCAAATTGTGATTTTTTGTGTGGATGTTGATTGAATTGTTTTCGTAAATAATAGGGAATCTTCGTTGTTTTATATGATTTGGTAAACATGACTATGCCATATAATCGGAATTTTTAAGTTCAAAATGTAAAAAACAACAATATAAAGAAAGAATATGACTACAGTTTATAGTCACATATAGTCATATTCAACTATAGTCATATTTGGCGTTGCAAACCTGTCTAGAAAAAATATTCAATTGTTTGTTTAAAAAAAATTTAAAATAATATTTTTATTAAAAAATATTAAAAATAAAAATAAATAAAAAATGGCTAAATAAAGTCCGAAAACAATATAAAAATAAAAATATAAAGTCCGAAAATATATATTGTTTTTTTTTTTTTGATTTGGTAGCATTTTTTAGGAATGTGGAAGCATATTTGTAGGAATTAAATTATTGTTTTGGAAGGAGAGAAAAAATGAATAATTGAGATAAATTATACTAATTAATTCTAATTAGCGTAATTTAGTTGCCTCATTAATAGGAATGGATAATTATTAAAAAAAACGCGTAATGGGTAGTATAAGGGTATGATTGAAAATAAACATTCTAGGGAGTTTCACAAAGGAACAATTATGGTATGGACATATCACCATTTTTTTTCTATAGGAGGGTGTATTGCTAATGACCCCATTATTTTTGTTTGGAGGAAAATGATGTTATTAATAATTTAATTTAAATAAAAAAAATAGTGTAATTATTTTTTTAGATATGGTGATGTGCAAAATTGACTTTTTACTCTTATTATATTTAGCCAAAAATCTACTCCACTGTGCCGACCCGCTCACGGCCGCTGTCGCCGCTCTACAACCGTTTTCCTTCACTACCACCTCCTAAAAACACTTTTTGCTCTTCTTCTCCAGCGGTGGAATTTCGTAGATCGAGTCAGAAAAAAAAGAAGAAAAAATCGGAACTGGAGAATGTAATCGTGGCGGAGGTTTTCCAATCAACAGAGTTTTCAAATATGGATTACAACTCGGTGGTTGTCAAGGGGGCCATAGGTACAGAAGCTTTCGGATTCATAAGCTCATAAAAACCCTATCTCTTCGTACAAATTCAATTCGATTTAAAAAAAAATACTTTTTATCACAAAAAATATTTTAATAAAAAAAATCCTTCAGCTATTTTACAAAAAAAATCTTTCAGTTATTAGATTGGAGGTTGAAAAAAATAACAATTTAATTTGTTATTTTGAACCCCGAAAATAAAACACAATAAAAAATGAAATTCTCTTTATTATTCAATTCAGGGTTCATTGTGAATGATTTATTGTGTTTTGAGGGTGCAAAATGTTATTATTATTTTTTAATGGTGCAAAGTGCCAAAAGGCTCTAATGTAAAGGTGCAAAGTGCTATTATTATTTTTTAAGGGTGCAAAGTGCCAAAAAGCTCTATTTCGAGAGTGCAACGTGGGATTAAGCCATAATGAATCATATATATCTGATCAGTGTTCTGAAAATCGGCCGAGGCGACCGATTAATCGGTCTCCGAGGCAGAGGCGGTTGAAAACCTTTACGATTTTAGTGTAAAGGTTTGAAAAAATCGGTTTTTGACTGTGAGGCGGTTTTAGGCGGTCTGAGGCGGTCCGACCTTTAAGGCGGGTCAAACTTCGGTGACAAAAATCGGTCAAAAATCAAATTTTTTTTTCCAAAATAAAAGTTGGGATTTAATAAAAAAAATGAGTTTATGCTTTATTTTGTTTATGTTAACTATTATTGTTAAAGAACTAATGATGTGCCAGGAATATATGTAAATTCATAAAAATTGCCTTTATTTTTTATTTTTTATAAGGATATTTATGTATTATGATCTTATTATTCTTAAGCTTTTATTATGTAATTAGGATATATACATGATGGAGATATAACTATGTTTAAATATCTTTTTATCTATTTTTTGAGTATTTATAAATAATACCTACAAATATATTATATTAAATTTTAAAAACCGATTTATTTCTGATTTATCACCGAACCGATTAATCGTGAATCGGTCCCTGACCGCCTCCGACCCGATTACCGCTTTTTACAACCTTGTATCTGATACATATGCATGAAAAAGAGATATCCTAACAACTTAGCAAAACACTATGTTTTAGAAATTTTGGAACCAAATAAAAAAATAAATATTAAATGCTAATTTATATGAACCAAATAATTATAGCATTTATGTTTAGGGGTTATTTTACATACCCCCTAGCCACCAAATAAACTAGGGATAAACTCAAGCCCAAATCATCCTTTGACATACCCCTGGAGAAGCGAAAGTACTATACCACCCTTATATGCAATTTCTGGCCAAACTGCATCAGCATATATGGTCCTGCATTTATCATTTTTCGTTGATTTATTTATTATTATTATTATTATTTTTATAAACCTGTTTGTTAAATATATATATATTTTTTTATTTTTTTTAAATTAAAAAAAATTAATTCTTTTTTTTTTCATTTTTTTTAATTTTTCTTTTTTAATTTTCAAAACAATATGTTTACAGTACTGAAAATAACTACATGTAACTATAGTACCTATAGTAATTCATAGTTATGTTCGTTTTTTTTCCCCATGTTTTTAGTGGATCAATTGTATACACACACGAATACTGACTTATACAAAATAAATTCATAAAACCCCAACAAAAATTTACAAATTTCAATATTTTTATTATAAATCACATGAGAACCAATAAAATACAAATCGAAAATACACAAATATACGCATGTGTAACTACATGTTACTATAGTAATGTATAGTAATGTATACACTCTGTTGAACAAATCAGATGTAACTTAAAAAAAAAAATTGACACCTTCAAGGAAAGGATCAATGGCCTTCATTAAGCTGCAATTATTGCAAAATCAAAACAAAAAGAAATTACTTTAGTGCAAATCAACAAAATTTGAAGAAAAACATCAAAACACTCAAAAATCAACAAACACTAAGAGATCAAGAGATAGAGAGAGAGGTTATTGCTGGGAAATGCTACAAATTTTAAATCAAACATACAGTGGCTCCTCACCCCCTCGCCTCCTACCAAAACCCTAGACGCCGCTAATAACCACCCACGGTTCCGCGCGCCCACAAATGCAAAAAAAAATATAGAAATAAATCTGAAAATATAAAAATAAACGAAATTACAATCAAAATATAGATCCCGACGAGAGGAATCCAACGGTGGGTGACCCGTCAAATTTCGACGGGTGGAACACAAAATAAAGCTCCGGCAAGACCACCGTCCCCGAATGAAAAAAAATTGCAGAAACAGATCAGGGCTCGAAACTGAATGAAATCACCACCAAAAGAAGGAGCTCGACGAGAGGAATCCAACGGTAGTTAAACCATCGAATTCCGACCACCGGAGAGAGAGTTATGGCTCCGGGAAGCAATTTCGCCGGTGGGAGGTTTGTGGAGGCGGGATTTTGAATCTGGGAGAAGAAGAGAGAGACCGTGAGTGGCTAGGGTTTAAAACTGATTTTAGAAGGGTATTATAGGAACTTCAGGGTAGCCCAGGGGGGTATGTCAAATATTTTCGAAATGAGGGGGGTTTCTCCTAGAGTGTAATATACTTGGTAGTTAGTTCTATATAATTTGGAAATGAGGGGTCTACAAAATAATCTCTTATGTTTAATATTTTAACAAAAATATAAGTATAGTACTATTATGTTGGGCTTTATATATATATATATGCTTCATTTTCGCTGATTTATTTATTATTATTTTTCTTTTTTTCTTTTTTTAATAATAAACCTGTTTGTTAAATATATATATATATATATATATATATATATATATATATATATATATATATATATATATATAAACACACGCTAGGTATTTCCAAAATTTTGAGAAAAATAGGTGGGCTTCACACAGATATTAACTAAAGTTTTGATCATGTGTATGTTTTAGTAGATAAATATTAACGATTATTAAAAACTTTGCATAAAGTAATTATACGAAAATTTGAAATTGGTCAAAAAAAATTGATGTTAAAAAAAAAAAAGAAAACAAATTGTGTGAAGCCCAAAATTAGATACATTTCATTTTCATCCCCAGGGTTTTGAAGGGTAGTGAGGGCATTATGTAAAGTATGCTCTTTTTTTTTGCGGTAAAATTGTGACCAAGGGATGATATTGGTTGATTTTAATATGTGAAGAAGGTTAAAGATTTGATTGCATCTCCTTGTATTTACATAGCATAGGGATGAATCATTCCTAAGAAGCAGAGTCTAGGGGACCTGCTCTTTCCCAATCCGAACCAGCGGAATAGGCCTCTTCCGGTCCGGGTCGGAAGGCTTCCTTCAGTGAGTATAAGTCTTTCAGATGCCGAATCTGAAGAAGCAGCTGCCACTAGAGAAAAATAAGTATAATCGCAAAGAAAAATGTTTGCGGAGAATACAACCAAAATAGATTTGTGGAAGAACAAAACCTAACATTGATAAAAAGCACAAATGAGAAAAATATTTGCATTCCTCAATTTTCAAGAACCAAATATTAATAAAAACTCACATGGTCTTTATACATATTGGCATCCGAATAGTATTATTATCGAATAACAGATCACAATATAAAGTGCTTCACTCTTTTAACTCATCGGACATAAATCAGATATTGACTTATTTCAAAACTAATATGGACATTCGCACTTTGACCGCTCAAAATTAACAAGACGATCGACAACCAATTTGCGGATTCATCATCGAAAAACAGTCATACCAAACAAATATGTACACACACACATAGACAGAGTGAAGGTGAGGGAAGATCTATAGTTGAAGTAAGATCTATGCAGTTCCTACAGTATTGTCTGTGTCCGCGTTCTAACATGCGTAGAGGATCACGTTTGACTTTGCTTCAACGGTCCACTCTGCGTTTAAAAATTATGTGGCTCTTATAGTTGACATATATAATCTAACACCACCTGGCAATTATCAAAGTCCATTTTGGCCATCATAACATCTTTCGTGGCAATTACAACATGAGATTCATGCTGTAACAAGTAAAGCGTTGACTGCTCGAACGAAAGGTCTCTGCTTTTTGGGCATAATGTAAATGGTGTAATGGACTGTCTTGTTGTTCAGCCTGTACTCGACTCTCTGCTGTTCTTTGTAACCAAATCATAATTTATGGAAGCTAGTTGCGACAAATTCTGATGGAAGAAGAAAAAAGAAACAGACTGTTAGTTGATTCGTTCGACTTGACCTGTGAGTATAAATACGTTGCAATTTATCATTCACTCGGGGCATAAAATTTGTATGAGAATATTTGAATCTCGTTGATCTCCTTCTAAAGACACGTAATGCAGAGCATATCGATATAAACTGACCAAAAATCATTTTGTGGCAACCTTCTACAGTTAAACCTCTTTAAATTAATACAGTCGGAACTAACATAATTTTCTTAATTTAGCGAAATATTAAATTGTCGAATTAATAATTTAATACATTTTTACCGAGTTGGGACCGGAAGAAAGTATTCTTTAAGCCAGGTTATTAATTTATCGAGTATTAATTTATTGAGGTTCTACAGTAGAATAAAGATTCTCACCTTGAACGAGAAATTGCTGAACGAATAATTCATCTCGAGAGAAGGAGCACCGCTGAATTCTGCCAAATTTCCGCACTCGTCACCCTGCGTCCAAGGAACATAAGTTATTCGTTGTAAACGCCAATCACATGAAAACGGGAAAAGCTTACATCTTCATCCTGTAAGTTGCTGTATGAACTGCTGCTGCAGGATGCGCTGCCGGTCTCTGTCAGGTCATCGAAATCGCTACCACCGTGAATATTCTCCTCTTCGAGATTCCATATATATCGGCTCATAAAATAGCTCGTATCGTGTGCCTCAGCTGAAGGTATGAACGTTGCCTGTGGCAGCAGAGAGAAAAATAGTGAAGGTTCTTTACTTAGTGCAACTTTTGAAGACTCGTGATTGAAGCGAATCTTGGTAGTGTGTGTGTGTGTGTGTGTGTGTGTGTGTAAATGGGGTAAGGAGTAGTTCAGACCTTCTGCCTCTCGAGAGTGTCCCAATTAATATCCTTGAAATAGACATGCCGTTTAACCTGAAAAGGGAATACGGAAAATTATTTTTTCGTATTATCAGAAACCTCTCTCTATAACTTACTACACATTACCTCTCCAGCCCCGGTGGCACCCAATCTCTGAACCGGATTTTCAATCAGCAACCTGAAGAGAGAGTATGAATGCATTTTCAGTTACAAGTAGAGAAGTTACAAATAACAAACATAAACGGCACAATCTAATTATATGTGTAAAAGAATGCGTAAAAGATATATATGGAACTTACTTGTTGATAAGATCATAAGCTTCATAGCTCATCTCATCTGGTATCTTGGGCCAGGGTATGTCCCTATTTATAATATTGTCAAAAATTTGCTGCATCAGACGAAAAAATTATCAATAAATTCATTGATCTGTAAGTCTTGACAAGAAAATAGCAAATTAATCCATCGACCGTTTTGATTTTACCGAAAAAATCTACAGCGTATAGAGAAAAAAATAAAGTCTTCATATGATTAGCACTAAGATTGAAGTAGGTAGTATTAATCTCTTATGGTGTAATACTTTAACGATGAGCTGTTGATGGAATACTTTTAAGGATTTTCAGTTACTTTCTGCAAAACGGGCTAACTGATATCGCAATGTAAGGAAGAAAACTGAAGGAAACAACTAAAGGATGCGGAAAAATATTAAACCTCAGAAAATTTTGTGAATGTTTGATTCAGTTGTTTTTTAGCGCTCTACAACAATACAAGATATCGTGAAGTCGATGAATACAGAGAAATACGAGAAACAGTTACGGCATTCCGAGCCACAGTAAATTGACAGAAATGGATGGAATACCTGTGGATGTTCTGCATTAAAAGGTGGAATACCCACTAGAAGCTCAAATAGGATTACACCTACAGACCACCAATCGGCTGTCATACCTACAAAAAGAACATTATAACAGAGTAAATACAAGAAGAAAAAAAAAACATTCATAATTTTGAGCATCCCGTTGATTTTTAGATTAGATTTCAAACCATGTCCCATGCCGAGAAGTATCTCCGGTGCCAAATAGTCGGGGGTGCCAACTACTGAATGTTTTTTCCTCTCTTCTCTTTTCTGTGATGAGTGCACTCCTGCTTTTGGTGCGTCGTCCTCAAGAAAAGCGGATGGTCCCGATAAATCATCCGTGCTATCTATCAGACCAACTTTCGACAGCCCAAAATCTGTCAACTGTTATGGCACGAAACAGATTTACGACTGATTAAATGTCATACTGGTTGAAGTGTAGACATACTAATACTCCAAGTGTAAACATACTAAATGCATGAAAATAGATCTTCACTATTTTGAACACAATAATCTACTTAATTCCGTCATTAACTTCACCATTCGTAGTCTTTAAGAAACAAAGTAACATTTTGTTCTTGTACGGTCACTTGTCGGAACACTCTCTTCATATACAGTAGAATCTTGTCAAAGAGAAAAAGTTTGCATAAAGCTAATCCAAATATGTATGAAGTTATTATTGAAGTCAAAAGCAAGTGATTGTGGTAATACTGTACTCGACACCTTATTTTCTCATGATGTTTTTTTATATCTTACGGGAGCATGATTTTGTCAAAGAGAAATCGGAAAATCAAACGTTAAAGATCAGCATTTCACGCTTACTGTGTATACAAATATACTTTTCTATATTGACCTTGATGTGACCATCGGGACCTATAAGCAGGTTATCTGGCTTCAAGTCTCGATGAATAACATTTAAAGAGTGTAGATACTCCAACGCAAGTACCTGAAAAAAAAAGATACAGATATATTAATCTTTAACTGTTAATAATTGAGTATGTCGATGTACCGGAGTTAAGAAAATAGTAATAGAAATGCTTACAACTTCTGCGATATAGATACGCGCCATATCTTCCTCCAAACAGCCTAGATTTCTTAGCAAGGAGAAAAGATCTCCCCCGTTTAAATACTCCATAACCAGATAAAGATTTTCCCTACATGTGAAAGAATAGAAAAATCGGACCTGCTCATTGTTAGATACAATTAGTTTTATGTCGCATTCACTCTCAAATAAGACCGCAATATTTAGTTATAAAATCTGCTCACCACAAAAGGATTGCGAACCGATATTAAAATATCCCGTTCGGCTAAGATACTCTCCACTGCATTTTTGCGAATCATATCAGCTTTCTTCAAAACCTGTAAAGATTTGCTAAAATCAAAGTTCATTAAAAGAAAATTGGATCAATTAATTTCAAATGAACAGTCACATAAGCCTCGAAATTTGACAACTTGCATATTATGGGATGGATTATGGAGCCTGACCTTTATTGCAAATACGTCACCAGTCGACCTTTTTCTTGCTAGAAAAACTCGTCCAAAAGCACCTCTGCTTATAGGTTTGATTATTTCGAAATCTTCAATGGAAGTTCGATCTTTGGTACATGGATTAATAGGGCTTGCACGCAAACTGCGAACTGTATCTTCTTCTGTTGAACTATCCTCATCGGCCATGGAATTCAGTAAATCACCCTTTTCGTCGTCAATTTGCCCACACAGTAGTACATATTTCTCCCTGAAAAGATCATAATCAACAAAATTGGAATCAAATACAAAATCAAATTTTATGCATCTATGATAAGGCTTGCATCACATTTCACGATTTAAAGTTCTAACTCACTGTATTAGTTTCTCTATGCGCCTCCCAACTGTCTCGACGACAAGAGCATCCACCTTCCTATCATGAATGGCGTACTTCAGGTCTTCCAGTTTCTCGATCATGTATTCCAAGGAGCTGTACTCGGTCCTGTTAAATTTTACTACAGATCGTGCAATTTCCAGGAGCTTAGATATCTGTCGAGTAAGTTCATGGTGTAATAAGTAAGCTAAACGACAAAAAGACGTTAAACATTTTTTTTAGAAAATCCAAAGTGAAGAGATACAAAATAATTGGTGAAACTTGTTTTACTGTGAAAATGACAAATTCTAATGATAGACTTGCACATAACTCCGAACGAAAATATAGCAAAAATAAATATTATTTATAACCAAGAATACGGAAAAGAATAATTCTAGCTAGTTCATCTGGCAGAATGTATCGTAGACTACCTGCTGATGGCTTTCAAATTCAGAAATTGTCCTAAGTCCAGTCATCAAGAGCTCTATCTGAGTCATTCGTGGGGTTACTAAAGGAGAACGAGGCGTCAAACTCCCAGCCGACGATGTTTTCTTACCAGGTCTATTATGATCTCTCGCTTCACAAGTTGCATTCAGAGCATCCAATAAAAAAGAGTTATCAGCCACATGCACACAATTCATCATGTCTTTGGGACATTGGCAAGAAAAACTGTTCATTTTTTGCGACAGCCCATCCAAATCCTCTTGTACCCCTACTACGTCCGATGCTTTCGGAGTCCAAGATTCGAGTATTTTTTCAAGAGTCTCTGCAACTCTTTCGAGTCGTTCGTTTACAGTTAAACCCTTCAAATCACATCGGTCAACAATCGTACAAATTCTCGAGTGCTGCTCTACATGAACTATTGGTATTTCAACTTCACATATTCTGCAGATTAGCGAGTCCTCGTACGCCATTTGGTGTTGGTCCCATACCCCCCAAGACAATCTTTGCATTTTCAAGGACTCTTCAGCGTGTTGAGAAGAGACGGGAATTTGCGTATTACAACGCAAGTCGTCCGATTTATCCTTACAAGGGGTGTCAACCGAGTCGTGGTCTTTCCTATTCTTTTCAGCAGCAGACGGAAGTTTCTTCCACGACGACATCTTAAAGCTTCCCGTAGATGATGCAACACTAGTTGCAGTATGAACCTCTTCCGTTACATGGTTTTGTTTGGTCATTGGAACGCTTTGTTCCAGTTCTTGGAACTTATAACTTGGCCTCTCGACACTTTCTTTCGAACCCAGCGATATACCAAAGGTACGCTCCGGGTATACACCGAGGTCGCTTAGCTGATGTGCAGCCAGCACATGATCTTCTTCATAACCATTTTCCTTTTGAAACTGAACTAACCGAGTGCAACGAGTGAGGATAAATAAAAGACGCGTATGCACCTGCTTCAGTATACCCATGGGTAACTCTTGACGCCGATCATCTAGATTTTGTACAATGCCTTCACACTTAATCCAAAATTCACCAGGTGACATCTTTGCACACTGCCTCGCTATTATCAATAAATCTTCCAAACATTCTTTCCAATCAGGATGGTATTCTGAAGTCTTCTCGAGTACGCTCACCAAATCCCCAGCAAAAATTCCTAAATCCGCATTAACTTCTTGTTTCAATTTATCGAATTTCGACCGTATCATTACCATAATTTCCTGTGACAAAAAAAATAATAATTGTATTTTATCACGAAATTGAAGAAAACACTGTATGTTATAACAGGGACAACATGCGAACTTAACATACTTCCATGCGCCCGATGGCACGAGATTTCCAAAACGGAAGTGGTCGGACACCTTTGGAATCAAGTTCATGAGAGAAGCTCTTAATGTCTGGTACTCGTCTTTTACGGCCACTTGTTAGACGTAGAATAGCCTGGAATCGTGGAGATTGCATTTCCTTGGCAAAAACGGCATGATAACCCTGCAAATAAGAACAACGACGTGAAGCTCGGCTACCTAATTCATTTCAACTAATTTACTACTATGAAAATCTCTACGAAATCACAAAACCAAATACAAGTGTAAACTCTGATTACCTCTGATCCCGATCTATTCGGCGAAGGTATTCTCAGCGATTTTGAATGATTCCAATGAACTCGTTTGCCTACAAATGGGGGAAGGGGCACCATTAAGAATCTCATTTACCAAAATTCTGAAACGATCGAATTCAGTAAATTCCATATAAATCATACGCAGACACGATTAAAAAAAAAAAGAAAAAAAGAAAAAAAAAAAACAAATTCGACCTAGTTCGGCAGAAGCGGCAGCAAATTGTTGGGAGGGGGATAATTTAGGTTTTGTATCGGCTTCATCGTTTCCTCGGAGGAAATTTTCCTTATCGAGAGGCAGCGGCGCGGAGCGAGTTCTGATTTGATTGAGGCCGAGCGTGGAAGGCTCGATGATATTGGAGGAATCATTTTTACCTAAATCGAAACCCTCGTCGTCACCAATGCTGGGTCTGCGTCTGGATGGAATCGGTGGGATTTTCCGCAGCTTGGTAATCGACGGCGATGAAGAGTTTCTGTGGTCGGACGGCGAATCTACCGGCGGCGGATTTGCTAGATCGGTGGTGCGGGAACTAGACATTGCGTGTTTGATTTCATCTGGATGATTGCATTTTTTTCGGAATTTAGAAACTTAGGCGCAGCAGAAAAAAATGGATCTTAGGGTGGGGGTGAGAGGGAGAAGGGGGGAGGGGGGAGGGGGGAATGGGAGTGAAATTCACGGGGTGAGATTTTCGCGGGAAAGAGGGGATGTTACAGGAAGACACGTAAGGCAGTTCAAATCATTGTTTCTCTAAAACGTGCTTCCCTCTATTCAACAAAGATTTTGTCAACATGTTTTTTTTTTTTAAACTAAAAAAAACTAATAATTTGTTAATTTTTTTTTGGTTAATTACACTTTATCCCTTGTACTTTGGCTAGATATCACTTTACCCCTTCTACTCTCAATTGCATCGATTTGACCCCTTGTACTTGAAAAATTGTCTCTATGTGGCCCTCGCCGTTAGTTTTTAGACATTTTACCAATGTTATCAGAACCGGACCGGACATTAAACCGGCGAAGCATTCGGGTCATGGTTGGACCGGTTCAACCGGGGTCAACCCGGGTTTTTTACTTTTTTATTTATTCTATTTATTTTTTAATTTTATATACACATAAATACATCCGAATAAAAATTTAAAACATTAAACAACATATGAAAAACTTCACTTCAATCCAAAAAACTATCCATAATAATAATGTATCTCATCAAAGTCATCCTCATCACATAATTAAAAATTAAAATATAAAACTAAAATTTTCTTGAAGAATTGAAATCTAAACAAAATTATTATCACACGATTAAACAAAAGAATTTAAAAATTGCACGATTCATCTACACGAAAGAGGGTACCGGCAGGTTGCAGGGGCGGCGGTGGCTGGCGGCTGGAGAATTGGACGGCGGTGTCTTGACTCTTGGTGCGGGAATAATGAAGCAGAAGAGGTACAGAGACAAGTTTGTTGACGTTTAAGTTTTTAATATGTTTTTTAATTCAATTTTTTTTTAAACCTAATAATCAAAACGACGTCGTTTTGATAAAGTATTAAAAAAATATATAAAACGCAGCGTTTAGGAGTAGAACCCCGGCCAGCGGCCGGTTCGCCGGGTCCCGGGTTTCACTCGGTCAGACCGGGTTTCTGGTAGTTGACCCCGGTTTTGAATTTATCCGGGTTTTGGGGTTAGACCGGACCGGTTTTCCGGCGGGTCGCGGTCGAACCGGTCGGACCGGCCGGTCCGGTCCGGTTCTAATAACATTGCATTTTACCTTAACATTGTTTAATCTAAGTCTGAAAATTACAAAAAAAAAAAAAAAAACCCCTCACAGTTTAAATAATTATTAATTTTGTTAAATTTAAAGAACTTAAAAATAAATTGTGTCTGCCGTCGTGGACTATGCTTTTCTCGTTGTCTAGATATTTTTTATTATTTACTTTTATTTTTATTTTTTTTATTTCTTTTTTGTTTTTAATAATTATTTAAACTGTGAGGGGTGGTGTTTTAGTAATTCCAGAGCTTAAACCAAACGATGTTAAGGTTAAATGTCCAACAACTAACAGCGAGGGCCACATTGAGACAATTTTTCAAGTACATAGGCTCAAATCGATGCATCGAAAGTAGAAGGAAATAAAGTGATATCAATCCAAATTACAAGAGGAGAAAGTGCAATTCACCCTTTTTTTTTTTTATAGAAACAGTTTTATAAAATGTTTGTAATCCCAGGGACACTATTATCCTTCTATATTGGTATGTTTTCTTCCCCTCTTTTTTTGTTTTGTGTTGTACATGACTGATATTACAAAAGGAGTAATATTTAAGGGCGAATGGCAAAAATGCCCATCACACGGGACTTAAATGCATTTTAGTCCACAAAAAAACAGTCTCTCAATTAAACCCATCCCCATGTCTTTAGCCTAAAATACCCTCCATAATATAATTCTTATCAATTCTATCCATTATGCTCTAACTTCCATAATATTACACATTGACCCCGGATTTAAACAAATATATCACATTAACCCCCAAAAAAAATTTTCTGAATTTTTTTTTTCCGGCCAGATTCCGGCGTTGGCTTTTTCCTTTTTTTTCCTGAATTTTTTTTCCGACCGATCAACCACCGTTGACTTTTTTTTTTCGAATTTTTTTTTCTTAGAAAAAAATATTTTAATTAATATTACTGTCTTCGCTACTAAATTACTGTCTCAGACAGTAATATTATTGTTTGGGACAATAATATTATGAATATTATTTTCCCGAACAGTAATATTATTAATATTATTGTCTAAGACAGTTAAATTACTGTTGGAGACAGTAACTTAGCAGCCAAGGCAGTAATATTAATTTAGGGTAAATGGCAAATATGCCCATGACAAGGGCACTTAATTAAAAGAGGGACATCCAACTTTTTTGTCTTTCAAATAAATCCAGTCCATTCAAACTTATTTGCAAATAAGGAAAATACCTTTATATATACCAAAATTACTCTCAATTCATTGAAACCCAATTCAACTCCAATTTCATGATTTACACCCCAATTTAGCCCAATTTCATCAATTAACCAATTTTAACCCTAATTTCAATTTTGACGCCAATTTTGACCCGCCACCACCGGAGACCGCTGGTCTCCGGCGATGACTTTTTTTTTTTTTTTTTTTTTATAATTTTGTTTTTTCTTAAAAAAAATATTTTAATTAATATTACTGTCATGGCTGCTAAATTACTGTCTCCGGCAGTTATTTAACTGTCGGAGACAGTGATTTAACTGTAAATTGACTTTTTTTTTTCCTTCAAAAATATTTTAATTAAGTTTATTGTCTTTGCTACTAAATTACTGTCTCTAGCAGTTATTTAACTGTCGGAGACAGTAATTTAACTGTTAATTGATTTTTTTTTTTAATATTTTAATTAATATTACTGTATTCGTTGCTAAATTACTGTCTCCAGCAGTTATTTAACTGTCGGAGATAGTTATTTAACTGTTAATTGAATTTTTTTATTCTTAAAAAAAAAAATTAATTAATATTACTGTATTCGTTGCTAAATTACTGTCTCCAGCAGTTATTTAACAGTCGGAGACAGTAATTTAACTGTTACTTGACTTTTTTTTTTTTTTTTTTTTCTTAAAAAAAAATTATTTTAATTAATATTACTGTCTTGGCTGCTAAATTACCGTCTCCAACAGTAATTTAACTGTCTTAGACAATAATATTAATAATATTACTGTTCGGGAAAATAATATTCATAATATTACAGTCCCAAACAGTAATATTACTGTCTTAGACAGTAATTTAGTAGTCAAGATAGTAATATTAATTAAAATATTTTTTTTCTAAGAAAAAAAAAATTCAAAAAAAAAAAGTCAACGCCGGAGACCTGCGGTCAACGGTGGTTGACCGGCTGGAAAAAAATTTCAGGAAAAAAAAAAGTTTTAAGAAAAAAAAACAAAAAAGAGTCAACGCCGGAGACCGGCGGTTAACCTCGGCGACCGGCGGTCTCCGGTGGTGGCGGGTCAAAATTGAAATTAGGGTTAAAATTGGTTAATTGATGAAATTGAGCTAAATTGTGGTGTAAATCATGAAATTGGAGTTAAATTGGGTTTCAATGAATTGGGGGTAATTTTGGTATATGTAAAATGATTTTCCTTATTTGTAAATAAGTTTGAATGAACTGGATTTATTTGAAAGACAAAAAAGTTGGATGTCCCTCTTTTAATTAAGTGCCCTTGTCATGGGCCTATTTGCCATTTGCCCAATATTTAATACCCCTCATTTAGAAAATATTTTGAATTAAACCTAATTTATTTTAAAGACTTTTTCCATAACTTAAATCTCAATTTAAATTAGGAGACCCCCTGACCAGACGTGATAAGACTAAAGTGCCTCTATGAGTTAGGTTTTTAATTTTATTTCCGACTCTCTCTCTCTCTCTCTCTCTCTCTCTCTCTCTCTCTCATAATTTCTATTCTTTTTTTTTTCTTTTTTCAGATCTGTAAACTGCCGCCGCTCTCCTTCGAGATTTACACCAGTGTTGCCTCTTCTCTCCTTTTCACACCACCGCCATTATCCGCTCACCCAGCCACCGATCACAGCCGCCGCCTAGGGTTCCGCCGTCAAGCCTCGCTATGATGTCAAACCTTCCCAAACACTCATGTTTCCGCCTCCTACATACCACACCACCCCTTGCCCGCCGAAAACGAATCACTTTATCATATGTATGGATATGTGTGTTTGTGTGTGTGTGTATTTTGTGCATGTGTGTGAAATATTCTCTCTCTTCACTCTCTACCTCTCTTTCTCTCTGGTGAGTTTTTTTTTTCCAGATCTATCCACCACCATAACCGTCCTCGCCTCTCTTACTCTCTCTTTCGTTCACCGCCGCCACCGCCGTTGTCGTCGACTCCCTCTCCCTCTCTTCCGTTATTCTTCTATCTTTATTTCTGTGTTTTTCGATCTCTCTCTCTCTCTCTCTCTCTCTCTCTCTCTCTCTCTCTCTCTCTCTCTCTCTCTCTCTCTCTTCTTTTTTGAGATATGAAAATACTGTTTCAGATTTGAACAGCAGCAGTAACATGACTGTAGTCATATTCAAATATGACTATTGTTGAATATGACTGTATTCATATTCGAATATATTCTATCTTGTTGTTTCGAGTTGACTTGTAATAACAAGATTCAAATTGTGATTTTTTTTGTGTGGATGTTGATTGGATTGTTTTCGTAAATAATAAGCAATCTTCGTTGTTTTGTATAATTTGGTAAACATGACTGTACCACACTATATAATCAGAATTTTTAAGTTGAAAATATAAAAAACTGCAATATAAAGAAAGAATATGACTACAGTTGATATACTGATTGATATATAGTCATATTCATCTATAGTCATATTAGGCATAGTAAACCTGTCGAGAAAAAAAATTCAATATTTTTTTTTAAAGTTCAAAAATTTAAAAAAAAAATTATTAAAAAAATAAATAAATAAACAAATGCTAAATAATGTTCGAAATTATATAAAAAAAAATTAATTTCCTTTTTGGATTTGGTAGTAGATTTTTAGGAATTAGGAAAGAGAGAAAAAAATGAATAATTGAGATAAAATGAGATAATTGACATAAGGGTAGTATTAGGAATAAAGTTTTATAGGATTAT